TGTCCTCATAAAGTGGCTGTCATGAACACAGAACACATGGCAGAATCCAACAGGGTACATATGCCTTTTCTTGTGCCCAGCTGATTATGTTATGCAAATAGTCATGTCTGCTGAGTCTTGCACAAGTAAAACTAATGGCTGGCACAGCAGAGATTTAGTTCTTTCCAGAAGAAGCCCTAAAATGAGCTGAAATGATAGTTTCTTGATAGGGATAGGTTGATGGAGTTTCCTTATGCAAACTCGGTTTTTCTGACATGTTCCAGAAACAAGTATTTGCATTCATTTCTGGTTGCCCCTAAAGTGCTTAATCTTCCTTTTACAAATGGTGAATCTTGCTTGCAAAGAAATAGGAGATATAAACATCTCATTGGATTCCTCCGTCCCCCCCTCCCACCCTACTTTTGCCATATATATGCATTTGGCAGAACAGCTTGGTTTTCATGGGAATCCAGACGGCCCTTTTTATACTCGCTAATTGTTTACACGTGTAACTCAAGTTTTTTTAAAAAATTAAATGAATGTTAGACGTCAGACACCAAAAAGGAGAATAATCCATGAATGGTAATATTGGTAATATTAGAGTTAATATTTTTGGACCTGTGCAATCACACAATCCATTTTGATTCATTAAATGGCCTTTGAAGCATTTTGACAGAACTTGAAAAAACTCCACTGGAAAGGTCTTTTCTCACTCTCAAGCATATGCAGCTGGTTATCTCTCTCAATGAATGGTGGGGATATAAGCACCAATTTCCTGGTTAGAATGTTAGCCACATTCTTGAGAGTTCAGTTTTTTAACCCTTCTATGAGCAATAGTAGTCCTCTTGTTATCATTGCATAAGTATATCACTCAGATACCTCAAAGTGATATATCAGATACTTGTAGAAAAATGGGACGCTAAAAACATCCAGTAAAAATATTTATCCACTGTTTTTATCAATTAAAATGACATGTGTTTGTTCTAGAACATCCAAGTAGCTACTTAGTAAAGAAAGAGTAAGCTATATTATAATTAATAATAAAAAGCTACTAGTTAGGCCATCCTTATCCAACAAGCCCACATAGCATTAGAAGCAAAATAGACTAAAAAGTAAATCAGTATCTACCTTTGGGGTGCCCTGTAATTAATCAGCTAGGACTATAGGGCTGTGTACTGTTGCTTCTATGTCCGGTTGGCTCTATTTATGAATAAATATGTACAGGACTGGTCTGCATTGCTTGCATTTATTGACATGCAGACTTATCTGCAGGTATCCTCTAGTAATCTCAGTGGAACTTTCTTTTAAAGTATAAACCAGTGGTCCACAACCTTGTGGGACTCAGGGGCCACATTAGAGTGCCTATTGCCTAAAGAGGGCCACATCTTAAAAAAGTAACAAAATTATTAACCTACCAATTTAGATCAGAAGTAAACATTCAGAGGTCAATGAAGAAATGTTAACTTAAACACAATCCATTTTGGAACAATATTCTACTGTAGAATCTTTGTATCTAGCTGCACATATTTACCTAGTCAGTGTGATTTTTGTGACTGTTTTCTGTTAGCCAAGGCATTCATGTCCAAGTCAAGGTTTGTGACAGACATCCTTAAAATGTCATGTAAATGTTCAGAGTCTTGACCTACACTAGGATTTCATAATTTTCATCTTGGAAAACGTTTGTTCACAGATTTATGTGGTGCCAAAGACTGTGAACATGCCTGCCGCAAATTGCTTAAGGTTGATAACTATATCAGGTAGACCACAACAGAAATCTAACAGACTATTTTTGTAAATGTCTCTGCAGTGATAACTGGTTTGCAGATCAATTAGTTCCATCAGAAGAAAGTTATATGCATCTTCTGCTGTTACTTCAAATGGATACTGAAACATTATTTCCTTTCCATGCTTATGGCAATCAGTGAATCTGTTCTGGAATTCCACCTGCAATAGGTTCAGTGCTTTGATGTGTCTCTCAACATTGAATTGTGAATTCCTGTCCTTCTCAAATTTAGTTTATTGTAACATGACAACTTTGAAAAGTTACAGTCACTAATTTGCTTCACAAAAATGTTTAGTTTTGATTGATTGATTGATACCTTGCCTTTTTCCTACAAAGGGCTCAAGGCAGCTTACATCTCCTCCTCTATCTTATCCCCATAACAACCCTGTGAGGTAGATTGGGCTGAGAGTCCAAAGTGCTTCCAAAGTGTTCAATTTGGAATACATGTCACACACAAACTTGCTTTCTCCCTGCAATCTTAGAATCATTGTGTTCTGATGCTCTGTGATATCAGTTATTTTAGTTTATTCTGTTTCATATTTTTGTGTACTCATTTATTTTAAGAAAATAAAATTTTAAAAAGCTAAATCAAAAATCCATCCAGGGTCAGAAATTACTTCTTGACCTTTTTCTTCCTCCTTGAGAAAGACATCAACTTCATGGTGGAGACTGAAAAAACACTGAGGACTTTGCCTCTCCTAAGCCACCTGACTTCTGCATGATACAATACATCTCCATATTCTGCATCTATGAGAGAAAATTTTGAAACTGACACTGAGTAAGGCTATGATGCCTAATGTGTAATCAATACTGGATACAACAATATGCATCACACTTTCCCATGAAATATTATCCTTGAATAGATAAAAATTCGAGAAGTATAGTTTTAGGGGTCTACCTCTTCCCTTTCCTATTAAAACCACCCCACTCTGGCCTCTGTTAACTGTGGATTTTAATTTTGACCATGCCAAGAAGAGAAGAAACTCCTGATTCTACAGTTCTCAGGAATATTGGGCCAAATGCACAGGCTGGGAGGAATTTTTAAAAAATGGATTATGAATCTGACCTGCCAGATGGCAGAGTTGCTGTCCTAAGAACATTGAATAGTATGAGATTTATTTCTTAATGAACACACTGCCTTGAGGTTTAAATCTACACATGCTAATACATTACAAATTACTGCCCTCCAAAAAGGGTGGTGGGGCAGATAGAGCAAATGAAAGGGCAGCCTCCCACGTGGAGCAGAGGATATGTTATATGCTGGATGTGCATACACAGCATAATTATATGCTGGATGTGTATACACACCACTGCCTGCCAGCCAAGCATCAATCATGAGAAGCAAACTGGCACCCAGGGGGAAGGGAACTTGGCTGGAGGAATGTGTGGAGAAGAGAATCCCATAAGCTTCCCTAACAGGGTACTCCTTCCTTCTCAACCCAAAGGGCCACTCACTGGCTCCTGCAATCACAGATGCATGAGAAGACTCTTAGCTGGAATAGGTCTGGGAGAAGAGAGGCGAAAGTGAGCAAGGAAAAATGTTAGAACAACCAGCTCTTGTTGAGGAAGGAAGAATGCTTTTTCCTGAAGCAGCAACCTCATCAGTAACATTGGAAGCCACTTGGAGGAGCCTCTAGAAATGTTCAGTATACAAAATACTTAGTATCCTTTTTGCAAAAAGATCAGGCTCTTTACTCTCTTTTCCCCCCATCTTTTTCTTTTTTTCAAAAGCAGGCCAGGCATCTGTACCCATCCACACAGCTGCTTCATCTTCCTTACACACATATGTAGCCTTCAGCATGGTAATGCATGGAGAGGAGAAGTGAAAAAGCTGAGTGGTAAGGGTACCTGAGCTCTGCTGGCTAGTAAAGCACCCAGAATGGCCAAAATGCTAGTATGGAGGATAAGACCAAGAGGGGGCTGGCAGAGACCAGAAGAAATAAGGTTGCTATTGTGTTTTTTTGTAAGAAAGGGAGAGGAAAAACAGCAGTAGATGGTGCTGCTTGAGGCAGGAAGAACAGAGTGGGTCTGAGTCAAAAATGCTTTAAGGGTGATGGCAATAAATAGCTTAAATGGGACTTGAGAAAGGATTGAAAGGCTCACTTTCAATAAGGGAACTTTACCTGACTGGTTGGTCTTCAACTACTATCAGTCCATAGTCAGGAATGGTGAGCAAAATGGTCAGGAATGCTAGGATTTGTAGCATGTGTGGGACACCAGGTTATGGATGGCTGTAATAAGGTTTGGTGACAGGGTGGGGGCACTCAGAAGTACTGTGGGTGGCAATTCCAGGCCTCAAGGACAGCTAAGAGAAATTGGTGAATTCTTCAGGATACAGGATACCCGGGCTCTGGTGCAGATTGTGGCACTTGATAAGCAAATGTCATAGAAAGGGCATCCCCCCCCCCTTTTTTTGGTCTTCTTGTTGGGGTTTGCCAGGGTAATGAGGGCTTTGTTTCATTTTTGGAAAGAGCTTTGCTCATGGTGGGCAGGCTCATGAATTCATGCTCACGGTGGGCTGTTCCCTCTTTGTGATTAGCTTTTTGCCTTAATATTATAAAGGTAAGTCAGATTGTTGCTTCCCGCATGGAAAGGAAAGGCACTACATGTGTTCAAAGGCACTTTTACCACATTCTTACTGCCCAGTAGAAATATTTTTGTTTACTTAAGTGACAATCTGCTATATTTCTTTCTCTGTGTTGTATAGTCTCTCCTCATTTAGTGAATAAATTGTACTAAACAGAATATGTCAGAAAGTTATTTGCAAGGGAACTCAAGATTCTACATAATCAACTTTGTATGTTAATGGGACTCTAATGTTGACTTACATAGTTCAAGGTTTGATTTACAGTGCAGAAGAGTTCTAAATGAAGCAACATACTTTCTTTTAAAAAAATCAAAAGCTGGAAATTGTTAACTATTTTACAGGAAATGCAGAAAAGATAATGCTGGTAATGGTTGAGAAAAGATTTTGTAGAAGGGGATTTTGAGGAAAGATTTGAAGAAGGATAAGATTATTTCTAGTATGGGGAGGACATGAAAGGAGGCAGGAGCTGGAGAACAGAACAAAAGAGAGGGGAGTTTTCAAAGTTTAAACCGGGCTGAAAATGTTGGAAAGTGTTCTTACTCCCTGTGCTGTTCCAGTGGATCAGTGCATTAGAGCACACTAGGTAGATGTCTCACATTTAACAGCTTTTCTACAATACTTGTAAAACTTTGGTTGTTCATATATTTACAGAAAGCAGCAAAGAAGACAGACAGACCAAGACATGAAGAACGGGATGATACAGATGTAACAGAGCTCACTAATGAGGAACTCAAAGAACAGCTTCTGAAATATGGTGTGACTCCAGGTCCTATTCTGGGTATGTGCAGCATCACATGAATAATATGTATTTTAACAGGGTAAAGAGAAATGTGGAATGAAAAGAAAATAAGTTCTGCATAAATTGCTACTTCAAAAGGTTTGCATGGTGTCGTTCTAAGTTTGCTTATGTTCACTTCTTCAGTGTTAGTAGTCCAGCAACAGCACTATCCCTGGCAGAACTAGAATTGTTCTGTCTCAGCACTACAGTACCCATCACTCACTTGGCAACTGGCCAAGTTCTTGGCTGTGGAGAATGTGGGCAGATACTTGTTACCTCAACTCATTCTGCATGGTGCCAAGAGCTTTTGCCAGTTAGCCTGGTGCACACACAAGCTTCATTCCTGAATAATCCATCATGATATAAACAAAGACACTTCCATGATATAACAATGAGAAATTAGTATACTTGCATAAAGGTGGTGAAATTACTGGTGACTATAGTTACAGAGGACAAATCACAATTTCCTACATAGTCTAGAAAAAGTGCTGCTAGTACTTTGTTACATGTACATCAAAGCAATTCTTTTGCTGGGTCCTAGGGCACTTCATAGCATACTAATAATAGGCTCATGGAAGTGGTCTTTGTCTGGCCTTGGCCTCTGCAAGTTACCCACAGCTCAAATTGCAATCTTTATTATACATTGCATTTATAAACAAATGCTACTTCTGTAAAACCTTTGTGTGAAAAAAATATTCCGCCATTTTTTGCTTGCTCTTAGTTGAAAAATGCTTACTACTTAAAACATTTAGTTATTTGGAGATCAGAAGCCTTTCAACAGGTCGTAAGAGGTACATTACTACATCAGCACAGGAAAGCTGAGGCTGCAGGGAAGAAGTTTTTTCTAAGAGGCTGGGAAGTGGAGCAATAATTGCGTAAGTAAGTGAAGCTGGCAAGAGTTGGAAATCAGATGAAAGAAATCCGGAGAGAAGGATGAAGACTTAGTTTCCAAGGGCAAAAGACAGGTGAAAGTAAGAAGACTGTTCGCTGCACTGCTAAAGGCAGTTATGTTATTGCTTTGACTTACATAGGCAGGGGTCAGCAACCTTTAACACTCAAAGAGACATTTGGACCCGTTTCCCATACAAAAGAAAACACTGGGAGCCGCAAAACCCTTTTGACATCTAAAATGAAGATAACACTGCATTTATTGTTTTTTACCTTAATGCTATGTATATCTTCATTATGATTTAGCTGCAGCTCTTGTTCAGTCACTAAAAACTGTTGTTTTTAATCTTACATTATAAACTAGTAGGACTCCTTTCATATATTTTGAATAGGAGAACAGCTTCCTGAAGAGTCAAAGTCAGTGCTAAAGGGCTTGTCACACCGATCCACAGTACAAAGGCTTGGAAATCAGTTTCTTGTCAGGGCAAACAGGTTTATTTACAATTGAATGCCTGGATCCATGAGTGCCTAAATATGAACATCCCATGTTAATTTCCTTATGGTTATATAGAATACACAAAAGGGGAGTGAATACAATACACAGGAAGGTGATTGGATACTTTGATATGGATAGGAAAGTGATTGGATACACGTCACAACACCATAAAGAAAAGTTACATTTCACTCTAATTAGATGCCTTTGACAAGCCTTCTAAACTAAAGTTATCTTGAACAGGCTGGCCAAGTTAAGTAAACGAAAAGGTTACATGTGTGAACTTACAGGGTTAGGGAGGCACTTTAGCAAGCCTATAAAACACAGAGATTACACTTTGACAGTTACCCACTAATGGAGTGGGGTCATTTGGTCTTCACCACCTGATACCGAGGCATCCTTTTTGATCTGTTTATGGCAAGGCAGTGAGGCGGGATGATAAGTCTTGTTTTTCTGAGTACAGGCTGCATGCATTAAACAGTAAACCCCATAAGTTCGTCAGCAGTAAAAGCAAATGAATCTACCCACCTATCATTAAACGTTTGGTTTTCTTCAGAAACTTTTCTTCGATTTATCCATGGTTGGCCTATGGGAGGGGGGTGGCTCAGTAAATTGGCATGGGTCCATAGATTCTGCGGCTGTGCCCAGTGATATAGGTGTGTTTAGTGACAGATTAGCAGATAAACAGTCAAGTGCTGTGAATTGTGACAGGTCGCAAGCGCAGCTTTTAACATTCAGATGAAGGAGATTACATTGGGACAAAAAGAATCCTTTCAGCAGTGTTTTGTGTAACATGAGAGCCTGCAGGAAGCTTGTTTAGCAGAGGAATGTAGCAATTTACTTAACTAGCTAGCCTAGCCCTGCGTTCCTGAGTGGAGCTTCGAGCAGATCGGCGGCTGTGCCGGCGCATGTTTGAGCGACGGAGCCGCGGCAGAGGGGTTCAAGAGTCATGTGCGGCTCCGGAGCCGCTGGTTGCCGACCCCTGTACATAGGGAAACTGTGTATATACAGTTTAGATGAACGTGTTTTTTCATGTTATTTTCATCAATTAATTTAAAACTTTCAGTAAAATCTAAGTTTGTTGATCATTTAACTGTGGCCTTGATTTTCATCCCACGCTAAGTTGGCTTCCTATTTTATCCAATACAGAGAATTAAAAAGCAGAAACAATGGAAAATGAATTAATTTGTTCCCAGACCCTCAGCAATACCCATTTTGGTATGCAGGGGTTATATATATAACCCGAAACTAAAGTGAGAAAATGCACTGAAAAGATAGAAAAGGCACTCCCTGAAAAGACAGCACAGAGATCCTTTCCTAGCGAGAGACAACTTGGGTGCACAGCGAATGACTTTTCTACAGCAGCTGCATTTTTTTTCACTTTGCTCGCAGTTTGAACTTAGAAGCATCCTTCAAACTGTGGTGCAATTTTATCTCAGCTCTACCATCTGAACTCTGGATCATTTGAAGTTAGGGTCATTTGAAGTACGAGGCACCACTGTACTTGCAACTTGATTCTTTGTAAATAGGTATACATATTCTAAGTATATAGATGTATCTATCCCACCTTTCTTTCATTGTGGAATTCAAGCTGGCTACATAAAGTTTCCGGGTGGTTTCTCCTCCAAGCACTCCTTCGGACTTGCTTAGCTTCTGCATGGTGTATGTGCCTTCGGACCATACCCTGGGGCTATATTAAATACACTTTTAAAAATACAACAAAAAAGAGTAACTTATTCAGTTGTCTTTTGAAGGAAAAGCTGTGATGCATAGCCCTTATTTTCTTCAGAATATTCACCATCAGCAGCACTACCACTGCTATTTACTACAGAGGAAGAAAAGGAGTTACAGGAGAGAAACTGGCACAAGACCCTGATCTAAAGCACTGTCTGAACTAGGAACCTGTATAGGTTTTCATCTGTCAAAATAAAACTGGGCAGCTAAGAATACATTTTTAAAAATATATATAATACAATATTTATATAGGCCCTAGGATATTTCTAGGCCTAGCAATATTTTTATATCACTTCTTAAACTTCTTATTCTATAACCTTTGCTTCCTTCTATTGTGAAATTGGTTTTTCTGACTTTCCCAGTACCATTGCCTGCTTCAATAACTGCATGAAGCAATTTAATCTAAAACCTTGCATCAAGAATGTATCTTGCCTGTTACTCTCTTAGCTAAGGGGTTCCCTCTTTTGTTTGTTCCCAGATTTAGTTAATTCTGATGTGAGTTATCAACCTCATTGTTATTTTATGTCACCTTGAATAAATCTGAAGATTTTCTGATTTTAATAGTTTTCATGTTAAGAATTTATATGTTTAAAGGAGATGTTGCTTTATAAATACCTGAGAACTTTCAATTTTTAACATATTTTCTCCCACCTGTTATGGGATTCCTTAGTTCGAGAACTATTGGAGAAGCACATAAGCTTCAAAATGTTTAGCCACCTGCCATCCACTGTCTGCTGATACTTATGAGTGGTAGAATAGTATAATTTCTTCTTATCTTTTGAATAGGAACGTCTTGCCCATCTTAATATATCCAGTTTTTCTTGTTCTCCTGCAGCTACTACAAGGAAGCTCTATGAGAAGAAATTACTGAAGGTGAAAGAACCAAATCCAGAGCTAAGTTATTTCCCAACTGCACCAACAGTTTCTTCATCAGCAGAAAATAATAAGCAGAACGGAAATGATGAATCTGATCAATACAGTGACAATGAAGAAGGTACAGGCATACCTTGAGTTCATTTCCAGACCACCACAATAAGTTGAATATAGCAATAACCCTGCTTACATATAGTTACATACTGTTGGCTGACTGGCTTAAGAGGCCTAGCTTTTGGTGTGTTTTTCTATTGGACGTGTCTTCCTCACTAAAATTAATCATTTCTAGCTTCCTCTCACTTGAATGCTTAGGGGGCATTGTAACGCTATTGGAGCTAGTGCTTTGTGGGCATTCTGAAGTGGCGAGGAGAGCAGTGAGGTTCTACAGCAATGTAGTGTAACCTGGCTGCATCTCAGGCACCCTTTCTTGTGCTCCAAGGCAAAAGATTTTCATGGTGAAAATTGGATGCCCATAATCCTTTGAGTTCAGTGGGTTATGGGTAGTCACATAGGATGGTGCTTCCCATACACTAGAACCAGTGTGTCATGATGGTTAGAATGTTGGATTGAGGACATGGGACGTCCAAATTCTAGTCCTCATTCACCCTTGAAGCGCGCTGGGTAGCTTTGGGCCAGTCACAGACTGTCAGGCTAACCTCCCTCACAGGGTTGTTGTTTTGAGGAAAAATTGAGAGGAGGAGAACCTTGTAAGCTGCCTTGGATTTCTTGCAAGAGGCAAAATGGTGTGGTATAAATGTAATGCATTCCTATTATTATAAATAATAAATTTAATAAAATTAGATCTTACTAAGATTAGATTAAAATATTTTTAACCAGCTTTTAAAAATCAGCAGGAAAACCTGTAATTTCTTAAGGTCAGAATATTAAATTTCCAGTGAATGTCATTAAATGCCTTTTCACAACATCCAGAAAAACAGTCTGTTGGGTTCTATCAGTTTATTCCAATCAAGTCAACTTGACATTTCAGCCTTCTCTATGTGCTTTATAAATTTTGCTTGATTTAGGAATGAATTGCATTCTATTGGCCATATTTGCAATCAGTATTTTAATGTAATTGTGGCTTGTTTTTACATACATTTATTAAAATATTTTATCTTAAATTAATTAAAAACAATAACATAGAGACAATACACAAAAATAGTAAACAATACAAGTAAGAAGGATTTTTTTTCAAAACAATTAAAACTATACAATAACAAAGACAGTGCATCCTTCCAGAGACCTTTGGTTACATGTTAACCAAAGGTTTACTCTCTCAGGGGGCTACACTCCCCTTCCAAAACCCCTCCCTTTTATTAATACATACTAAATTTTAAAAATCCTCAAATATCAGTTATCATATCAGATACCTTTTTACCTTGATATCTCAAGTTAACTTGTCTTTAACAGCTATATTACAAACTTCTCTATCCCAGTCACTTAATTGATAATCATATTTTACTTTTCAGTTCTTTTCTATCATCAGTCTAACTGCTGTTAATAAATGCATTGTTAATTCTTTAATATTTCATCCCTATTGTTCTCTATCAAATATTGACAATAATGAGATTCCAGGATTTACTTCGATATTTCAATTCAATATTTTACTAACTTCCTTAAAAATGGCTTTCCAAAATTTCATTGTATATTCACATTCACATGGAAATATGTACCAGCTTTCTGATCATACTTCTAACATATATTAGAATATTTATTATCCATATAATTCAGTTTTACCAGTGTTAGGTAAAATTTTTCATTTTAAATACTGTTATTCTACCAAACCATGGTAATCCAGTCTTTTTATATTCATTCATTTTTGCTTTTATTTCGTGTTTCAATTTATCAAAATTATTCTTTTTTAAGCATTGTGAATTTTGGTAATATTTATAATACTTAATAGTTCCACATATCTTAACTTCAGATTTACTCTTGATCCTTTCCTTCTCTTCATTATTACAACATCATTGTTGATTTGTCTCTATTTATCTGTATCCCCAGTTATGATTGATTTATATCCTGCCTTTTTCCTACAAAGGGTTTAAGGCAGCTTACATCATTCTCCTCCTCCATCTTATCCCCTCAACAACCCTGTGAGGTAGATTGGGCTGAGAGTCTGTGACTGGCCCAAAGTCACCCAGTTGGCTCCATGGCTGAGCGGGGACTAGCACCCAGATCGTCTGAGTCCCAGTCCCATGCTCTTAACCACTACACCACGCTGGCTTGGATATTATCTTTCATTAAGACGATCTGGACCGGTTTTAACAAGTATCTAAATGATAATCTGAAAACAAAGATCTTAAAATTCTGGAATGGGTGCCTCTTTAAATCACAACTGATCAGACTTCCCTCGCATTGTTTTTATAAACATTTCTTTGTAAAAATTAGAAAATATGATCACAGCATCTCTCAGAAACATTCTGGATCAATGTTTAAAAGTAACACAATATAATCTCTTTATTTCCTCTTGTTCCTATTTTTCCTCTAAGATCATTTCTTTAAGCTTTCTGTCTTCTGAAGATGAGCTTTCAGCAGTGCCCCTTATTTCAACACTTTTTTGTGGGATCTATCTTCCAAATCGATCACCTTTTCCCCAATTCTTATATTCTATTTGATTGATAGTATAGCAGTATTGTATTTTTAGGTAATTTCTCTGTCTCTTGAAATTTAGTATTCAATGCTTTCATCTAATTCTCATCTTGTTAGTGCTTTCTGATTGCCTGCTTTTATCTGAGTAACAATATTTTGAGGCATCTTTTTATTGTCTTCCTTTAATTCTTTAATACTGGTTTCTAAATGTGCAAGTCTAGTAATTCTGGTTAAGCATTTTGTTAGTGGAAGGTGCTTTCACCCAGTTTTCAAGGAAGTGCACTAACCTACCTTTTATAGCTCATTCCATTTAGTTGGGGCTGCCAGTCCTGTGTGTACTGTCTTTGGAGGACTGCTGTGGAGTGGAGGGGGCTGGAAAGAGCCTTCTACCAGTCTAGTTGCGTGTGACACAACTTGAGTCCAACTTCATAAAAGCAGCAGTGTTCCCTAAACTAGATTTCAAATGTAAAAGGTATTGATGCTTGAATACAATAATATGTTTCTGCTAAAAACAGAATATCAAATATATGAAATGTCAGATTGTAACTCAGTGATCTGATTTTCATGTAACAAGGAGCCACCATGGATGAATTTTCCTGTTGGGCTTTCTGTTGCTGTTGCAGCTTCTATTTTGAATATTTGAAGTGCAGCAAGAGGGAATACCAAAGTTTATGCATGACTCCAGTGAGAGTGGGTTGTTGAGGTGGTTGATAAATCAGCCCCCCAAACCCATGGGCTATTTAGGGTCTCATGTGGCTTGCTAACCACTCCAATAATCCACCTTTGCCAGGTTTACATATAATGTCAAAACTACAGTATGTCACCATTTACAATGACAGCTGCTGCCAGGATGAGAAACCATGTGACAAAATTCACCCAGGTGGGCCTTTTTTTTACATGTGAATCAGACCAATGAAATGCATTTGGGCAATGGTCTATTTAGAGATGAAGTGTTTAAATAAATTCAAATGCAAGCACATTTTACCAAGCAATTTATACATCCCTTATCAACCTTCAGCCTTTAGCATCATTTTCCAAAATAGTGTTTAAAAATTATTAAGCAGTTTTAGATTGGCTCATTTGTTTGTTTCATAGAAACAGTGTTTATATAATATTGGAATTTACAGCTGCAAAAAAGTAATAGACATTTATTCACAGATCCTAAAGCTGAGTTCATACTTGAGAAGCGGGAACCACTAAAGGGTAAAACAAAGGCTCCAGTAACACTCAAACAAAGAAGAATTGCTGAATACAACCAGGTATTATTATTAACATTTTCTTACCAACAGCTCTTCTATAAAATAGTAGGTATCTGTCTTTAAATGTTGACATTTTGATATCACCTTATTTTTACAGTGCTATGAGCAATGATAATGATTTATTTATCACAGACTACTAAACTACAGTCTTTGTAATGCTGAATATTCAATACAATGTAGTTATAGAAAGTCGTATTATCAATCTTCTTCAGAAAAGTTGGGAATCTGAAAGAAATAAAATATGACTGAATCTAATATTCTCCGACTAATTTTTTTTAAGTGAAAAGTGTATTTTTTGAATGCTCCAAAATATTTTGAACCCTCTCTTCCAATTGACTCTTTTCATACTAGTTTGCTGTTTGGTGCCCTTTGTTTGAAATGTGCTTCCTAAGAAACACAAACAGCAAATCTGAATTAGCTTCATTTGCTCAGTGTTATTGTTGTGTCTGCATGATGACAGTCACTGTTAGTACAAGAGCTATATGAATGAAAATAAGTTTTCAAAGGAAAAGCCAATCATGGAAGCAAAGGGGTTCAATGGTGCACGTCTGCCAAATGCCAGATAACCCTAAATGTCAGATAATGGAAACAAGGTGGCCCAGACCTTGATAATTTGGGGGATATGCCTTTTTGGTACCCCTTGAAAAAAAAATAATTGCAGATGCTCTCCTTTCCTTCTTTCCCCTGAAAGAAGTACTACATTTTAAGGGAGGGTTGTGTTTGTAAAATCTGCTCCCTCTTTCTTTTGGTTCAGGATTATTAGTGTGCATTACGTGGAGTGCAAGACACATAAGAACTAGTTAATGCCATAATTGTCTAGCAAAACTGCTTTCATAGTTGGCAGTATATGCCAAACAAGGTGCAAATTGTCTAGACTTGTTGAACAGAGAGAGTAAAGTTTGACTATCTGCAGAAGGAATAGTTATAGTAATACTTTTCAGCATGTTTTTCATAATCTGTATCATGCAAAAGAACAGATCTGTGATGAAATTATATTTCTTGAAAGCATAGTTGCACAGTTGTGCAATATATTTCTTTATGGATCTTTATTTTGGATTTCTAGATGATGATGTGATGATGATTCCCTTAGATCTGTGAAGTAATATCAAAGGTTGCAATCCTACATGCGGGGGTTGCAGCCTGTGACCATAACACTGTGAGCGCAATAGAGCTTACTTCTGAAATACAGAGGATTGCACTGTGTACTAAGTGTATTTGGGGCCTCGGTGTTCTCACATATTTGCATTCCAATATTTCAGAATTAGCTGTCCATACAACTAGAACTACCTTTTATATGGAGAGTAAATATAAAAATACTAATGCTTAGTTGTACAACTGGCATATGTCTAGATGTAAAGAATTTAAAATTAAGTTACTGAGTATAGTATAATTATTTTTTAAAAAATAATTGCAATACCACCTGTGACTTTTTCCTCCACTTCAGAACTTAGAACTTGATTGTCTTATTTCTGTAGGTAGTCCCTTTTTGTGTTGTATTCTAAGGAATAATGCTGCTTCAATGTAATAATTATCTTGGCCTGGCCTGCCTGTCAAATACTCTTGTGGCATCTGTTACCATTTTTATATCTAATAAATTCTATTAGGCACCATCCTATGCAAGTGTCTGTAACCCTCCAAACTCTGAGAATTATAGGTATTCATTGGAAGATGGACAGTCTTGGAGGCTAAGATTGTGCTTGTATTCTTCTTGCCCCCTTCCCAAAAGAAATTTAGACAGGTTATTTCAACCATCACAAGAAGGAAAAGGCTGAGGCATCACTGGGGTTCTTTGGAGGATGGTGGTCCCTCGCTCCTCCCCCCACCCTTGACAGCCCAGAAGACAATCGTCAACCTAAGGAGTTGAAGTGTAATTAGAACTGCATCCACTGCAAGGCAAGGGAGGACCCTCTAAGGTCACAGTCCCTGCTCCAACCTCAGAGTGTTTTACCAAGGTTGCAGCTGAGACACCAGACTCTCCTGTCACCCTTCAGACAATGTCAGGAGGCCATAGGATTGCACCCATAAGCTATCAGCCAGAAAATGCTTCAATTTTCATGGATGTTCTTATCTTTAAACTGTTTTCAATCGGCCAAACATTCACAAAAACAGTCCAGAGAGCCATGAGATTATTGCAACTGTATATAAAAGTATTAAATAAATAAAATTACAGCAGTCCTAAACACACAAGGGAGTAAGTCCTATTGAACTTGGATGTTCTGATATACTCTATCAGAATAATTAATTTACTCTTTGCTGTCCTGTCACCAATATTTATATTGGTATTCATTCTGTATTTTAATCAATTTTTCTAAATAGCCAAGAAAAGCAAATGTAGCTTTTTCCTATAGGCTTTATTTAGAGCACAATAGACCTCATGCAGGCCACATGTCCCTCCAGCCTGTTTTTATGACGGCTTACCCTGTGTGAGATTGTATGAGATTTCAGTTTTTTAAATCTATTGTACTAGTTAAGGGCTGGCCTTTAAAGTAGATTCCTTTTTTTAGATAGCCCATTGATGCATTACTTCAAGGAGTAAAGTACCATAGATGCTGGTATAATGTTTCCTTGTAATTTGCATGCAAGATACTGTGGCATTAGGTGGAGATCATCTGATGTAGGTATAGAGCATTCATATGCTTGCTAATATGTTTGATGCTTAACTAGAACTATTCTCAGGATGGAGTTACTGAGACTTTCTGGAGAAGTGGATCTTCGAAAAGTGGACTTCTGCAGGCAGTTTCTAGGGAATCTCCAAGAGTATCAAGGAGGACACCAAGGAAAAGGGTGATGCAAGGCTAATTTGCAATCTAGACTTATTTTCCTCATTCTCAGGGCCCCAGTAACAACTGTACACTTATTTTTTATGTTTTTGTTTTTAAACAAACAGGTTGAAACTACAATACCGTTGCCTGTACATGATGCAGTAATATCACAGAGTACTCCTATAGCTGATACTGTAGTGGCTTCAAGCAACAACACCCTAGTAAATATATTGAATTTGCAAGAGGTGGTATTCTATAATTTTCCTCCTCCTGGAAAAATTTGGATTAAATCTAATTTCTTGAAAAAAAGGAAAAATTGTGGATTTTTAAAAATGCTATTGGTCATCAATCTGATGCAAACTCAGAGCAAGTAAAAGCACTAGGAACAGTATTGAACTAGATCTTCCAAAAGCTCCTTTTCCCATATGTTGTGGAAATTGCTTTTGCTTAAATGCATTGGGGGAGGGGGCCTACCTGGAAATAGCACACTAGCTGTTTTCCTTCCAGTTGACTGTCATTTTTATTTTAAAATCAATATACACAAATGTGTGAGGGTTGGTTTTTTTATTTGTAAGCTACCTGGCTTGGTTAAGATTTTATTGCCATTTTTTCTGTTAATTCTGAGTCTGAACAATTTGAATTCCAGCAGGTTGTCAATAGGGTGCCTGGAAATATCAAGCATGCAGATCCTATACAGTCAATCAGTGACTTCTCAGAGTTGGCCAGAAGAACATCAAAGAAACCATTGATGACAGCTGAAGTAAATGAATTAAACTTAGATTGGTAGACAGAAAGGGGAGGAGGGATTCTCTTACATTTACATAAAACAGTAATTTTGATTTTCATCTGAAGGTATTATACTAATTGACTTAATTTAGAACTATTTCCTGGCTTCAGATTATGATATATTTCTGGCTGCCATTTTTGCATGTGTTTGGCATACAGGTATTTGCAATATCTAACAATTCACCTAACTCATAGCACATAAATAAGATTTTAAAAACTAAATTTATATAACCAAGTTGGCTAACCATATCTAAAGTAGTTGTTTTGTAAAGAAAGTAAAAAGGCTTCTCTATCATGGGTATCAATTATTACTTTGATCACAAAATAAAATTTGTGATTTCACTGCAAGTGTGTGTTAACTATGCTAAAAATAGGATTCTGCTATTGTGTTCTGCTGTACTGACAGTATTTATACTTTTTACCATAAGAAATTGGAAAGTCCATATATAAATTTGTTCATCATGTTCAGTAGTCTTGATCAAGTCAGCTAGCATAGAAGTGGTAACTGTGCCTTTTAAAGTTTTCATTTACCAGGATAGTCTTTGTGACTTAACATTGTGTTTCATGTTGAAGGAACAAAATGATGGTACTGAAGATACCTGGACTCAATAAAGGGCCAAACATTTCAAAGTAACCAAACTTTAATCAACAGCTAAACTCCATGAATGAATCTTCTTAAATTTCACTGATGTACCAAATACTCTTCAAAATCACACAGGGACACGGCTGTGCACTCTCTAGAAATTTTCTGCTGTAATCTATAAAGATTATAATTCTTTCCTTTTCTGACTATGTATAGGTGATGGAGAAAACATCTACAGAGGAAAGAAGAGTAGAAAGGGATATTCTTAAAGAAATGTTCCCATATGAAGCATCAACACCTACAGGAATTAGGTAATTCAGGATGTAATTGTTTTTTAAGATATGCTGTCACCAAGGCTTTAGAACCACTCTTATGCCACTGAGCTAGGCAGCACAGCATTCAGCATTGGGTGGTGTTATCAACAATTTTTGGAAATCTGTTTTATAGGAGTGTTGAGGATTCTGTTTAGATGGAATTAGTAAGGCTTCCCATTTTTCATGCTCTTCAGTAGCACCAAGAAAGCTTGGTTTTCAGTAGCCCCAGACATATTTCAAAGTTTATCTGTATTATTTAAATTGGTACTTTTAGGTGTAGCTTGCATGCTTAGGTACTTGTCAGTTTTCCAAATCACATCATAGTATCATACCATCAGCTCTTGTCCTAGAGTTTCTGTAATTTAGCGATACCTAGATTGAAAGGCTCTGTGGCATTGTTTTAAATTTAGTCATCAGTACTGAGCAAAATGCAGTGATGACACCCATGCTCAGTCCAACTCCATTGATGCTAGGGAAGCAGAACCTACCACTTGCAGAGTGGAGGTTTAGAGCTTCCAGGGACAACCTGAAATGACTGGAATTCCTCTACCAGCTTGCCCTTTTCCAGGAACAAGTGCTCTCACTTCAGGATTTGCCCCTGAAAGCATTAAATTGCCAATGTACAAATGGAGGGTGGTATACCTGGCTGTTTCTGACTGCAGGCCTCAGACAATGTCTGGGAGCCATAGGACTAATAGATTAAACTGTGTAAGGAAAGTACATAGTATAGTTCTAAACTGTTTGCAAAGATTCCAACAAAAAATTGTACATAACATCTAAAACATATTAAATGTACTTCATTTTTTTCATTGTATATTTCAGGTCTAATACTTGCATTTTGGAATTAAAAAAGAGAGGTGTTTGTTTACTAAATGGAAATGAAATGAATGTGCCAGAGTAGATCATTCTCTGTGACATTAAGAAATGGTCTTACAAGCTAAACATTTATAGTGCAAATGAACCAGTTAGTCATAGTAGCATAATTTAGCATTTTCTAGAAAGCCTGATAAAGTTTCTCTTTGATTCTGAAATGTGTTGTACAGAAATGGCTTTTCACTGACACCTTTGAGAATATTTTTAAACATTCTCTTCTATATAAAAAGCATGGATTTTTAATAATTCTATGCAAAGTCAGTTCATTGCTCCACTGCAGATAAAAGAGGCTGAAAGGGAGATAGAACTGCATCTTGATTACCACACAGTTAACAAAGTGATTTCTTAAACTAGATAGATTTCTTTAGTACCATCTTGTCAAAGGCCAGAGATCTTAAAAGAAGGGGAGACCTAACATATTTAGATAAGCAGGCATGTGAATTTGATGAAGCATAAAATGTAAACACAGATTCCACATAAGGGCAGCAAGTCTTGCATTAGTTAACCCATGATTTCCATGGATATGTGCCACCTTCCATTTCTGATTGGTGCAAATGGAAATGATCAGTATGACATGCAAACCTGGATGTGTTTCTTACAGGCCAAGTAACCATGTGATTAACCCATGGTTTGTTCCTGGATTAACTGTTAGGTTATCAGTCTGGTTTGCATTTCATACAGACCACTAACAGCCCAGTTGGAGGTTTTCTACTATATGTGGAAGCTGCTAGTTTACAATGCTTATCTCAGCAAAGCGTGGTACATGGGTGGTACACTGAAAGTACAAACAGGTCCTAAAACTTCTAAATATTTAACACGTGTTAAATACACTTCCCATGTCTTATCTAGATCAGGTAAGCTGTTTGTACCTTCTAATAAGTTAGTACTTGACTAGCTTCAGTGAGTGAAAACACTTGTCCATCTTCCCTAGAACTTTCTGAAAATAAGGTAGAGATTCCTATATCCCTTTTTTAAATTGAAGTTTATATTCAACTTAAATAAAAATGACTTCTTAATTAACAGTGCTAGCTGCCGCAGACCAATCAAGGGAGCTGCTGGTCGACCTATAGAATTCAGTGACTTCCGACTGGAGGAAACCTATTCATCAAAATATATCCCTAAATATCTTGCCTCAGCAGATGTCAAACCAGAAAAACCAGCAATTAAAAAACGCACCATTCCTTTGTGGATAAAAATTCTGCTCTTCGTTGTTATTGCAATGTTCTTGTTTTTGGTCTATCAGTCTATGGAAGCCAACCAAGGAAATCCATTCTCTCAGTTCCTTAATTTAAGTAATACTGCATAGGAAAAGACAGAGTGAGCTTTTATTTGTATGGCACACACAACTTGGTCTCCTATTTTTAACTGTAAAGATGTCTTCATCCTTCCTCATCTATTCAGAGACTGCATACAGACAATAGCAACATGAGAATTTGCAAAGTGAAATAACCAATACAGTAAATGGACATCACTAACTTTTCTCAGAATTAGGAGATCACTTTGTGCCATAAGGCCATATTTTTAGATCTCCCTGGAACTTCTCGTAGGATTTATTTTTTTAATGTGGACATCATTACATTCATTTGAAATTGTATATTTGTTTTTGCAAGCTTGGAAGCTCAAAAGGGGCAAAAGTGTTAGTAAAATGTGAAGGTGTGTTTAAATGTTTTTACTTCATGCTAAAAAGATGCTGTACTGACATTTCTCAACTTTTGCCTGTTGTTCCTAGGGATGGAAGAACTAATAATGGGAAATGCATTGATGCATTTTGTTGAAACTGTGCAGCTAAATTTAGTGTATTGTAGTTTTGATGGGAAATTCAACATTTTTTTCTGTAGAATACTGTAACATCTTAATAAATAAACTGTAAACCTATTGTATACATTTTTGTATCTGTCTTAGTTTTAATTGTAGTAATGCCATTTAAACTTAGCCTCTATTTTTAATCATAGTTCTATTTTAGTGGTTTATCTTATAATTGCTGATCTAATTGGCAATAGGTGTCTTTAGAGTAAAACTTATTTATTAGTAAAATTGTGTGAAATAAAACTTACATTAAATAAGTTTAATTACTTTTTTTACTGAATAATTGATGTTAAATCATTAACTGCAGAGTTACATTTGAGGCTTAGTACAAAAGGGTTCTGTTATCAAGCAAGACCTTCTATTTTTACATAGGTAAATTGAATGTCATGTTTAGATAAAAATAATTTCCAACTGTATTTTGTTTGAAGCATCATTCAGGTTCATATTCCACAACTTTGATTTTTCTGGTATTCAAAGGGCATTTGTTATTCATGTGATTAACTAAGATTAAAATGCGCTGTCCATGGATGCAGCTATTTTAGTCTGCTATAATTTGTTGTCACTCACTTTTCCCAATCAAATAATTTCCATTCATTTTTATTAACTGTGGATTATTACATATTTAAAGTGAATGTATCAATTTGCAGTATATATAGGATCATGGTTATTACTGCATATACTATACAAAATTGCAATAAACTTATTTTTAACCCTAAGCTATAGTCTCGCAGAAAGTGGTATCAGTACAAATGTGTAATGAAGCACAATCTTTTATTCCTTAAAAAATGAGCATTTAACAGCATGATAGTGTGCAAAGTTAGGCACAGTTTAGATGGGATCCTAGAACTTACCTGGAAATAAGACCTACTGAACATAACAGGACTTACATCTAAGTAGAAATTCTTCGGATTCTAATGCACAATTTTAAAGCTTTTGGAAGTATCTAGCTGCATAAGTTCTGCGTGTAAGGCTGCAGTTCGGTGCAGTTAGGCTTCTTAGACCGCAGTGACTTCAATGGGATTTAAGTAACTTAACTGCACAAAAATATCCTAAAAATTTGGCATACTAATATGCTTGTTACTAGGCTTACTAAAAACCACTTACATACCTTCAGTACTTGTATGTTTCATAAAAGCCTGTGTGGTGTGGTGGTTAGAGTGCTAGGGTTCTAGTTTCCATTTGGCCATAAAGCTTACTGGATGACACTGAAACTCAACCTACCTCTCAGGGTTGTTGTGAGGATAAAATAGAGCTATGTGAACCTTCTTGGGTCCTTCACAAAAAGAAGAAAAAAGGTAGGATATAAATGAATTGTAATAATAGGAAAATACTGAATAAATTAGTGACCACCAATGCATTCCTATAGTCATGTAAAATTCATTGGGGCTTACAGTCTGGGAATTCATTTGTTTAAATCTAATAAAACTGTTAAATATGATGATGCTGGTAATTCTTTTAACACACAGCCAGTGCATTGAAAAACTGTGTATTTGACTGTAAAGAGGAAGAGTTGTAGTTCAGTACTCAAACACCTACTTTGCACACAAAGTTTCCTGGTTCAATTCCTGCCATCTCTAAGACCAGGACAGACCAAAACTCTGCCAGTAAGTGTGGGCAATATTGAACTTTTACAAGACAATTCCCCCCTGGTTGCATACAGTTCAAATGCTGAAACCACATTTGCTCTTCAGACTAATACCTATAGATACCTAAGAATTGTGTAGCTGCTACTAAACATTTAAGTTAATTTGGAAAATTCTATCTCAATTGCTCTCAAATGATCTTCTCTCTTTAATTTTTTTAAAGTGAAACATTAGGCTTTAACATGGGACCAGTCTTAATTATCTGAAAGGAATTTCAAACAATTACTGATTGAACTAATAGTCATTTTTGCAGGAGCTCCTTGAACCATGAATATGAAATCCAAAGAACAGAGTGCCAGTGGAACAGGAAAATAATATGTAATATTTATTTTTAGAATTAGTTTTTGCTAATCAGCCCAAGCGCCTTTTAAATAAAGCATGTAATAATAAAAGAAAAAAATAAAATAAATTGAACAAAAGACAGTAAAATGAAACAGTATAAAGGTGAGGGCAATAATTAAAACTACATACTAACCAATGAACAAGTTAAAATTGTCAGAATAAAATCAATTATTAAAATACCTAGAGAGAGAAACTATTTTCGCCTGGTGCCAAAAAAATTGTAGTGAGGGTGCCAGGCAAATTGCTTTTGGGAGGCTGTTCCATAGCTGGGGTGTAACTACAAATAAGGCCCCTCTTCTATTAGCCTTCCTCCTTATCTCATTGGAGTATGGCTCTTTCAGAAGGGCCTCCAAAACAGACTTTTGGACCTGGGTAGGCACAGAAGGAAGCAGGTGGTCCTTTTAAGTACCTGGTCCCAAGCTGTTGAGAGCTTTATATGTTAACATGAGTACCTTCAATTTTGTAGGCTCAATTGCAAGGGAGTTATCACAGGAAGAGCAACACAAGGAGTTGTGGGTAGCCTTGGATCTAAAAGCAGTATCCAACAGCATTGCTGAGCTTATGCAGTTGATTTAGAATTGGCAAAAGCAAATCTAGCATAACATTAATTGCATAAATTAAGTTTCCCCAGGAAATATATTGCGCTACATATACTATTAGTGTGCCACTAGCAGTTGCTCATGTTAATGGACCGATTATTCTACCAGATGTGAATCAGCTATTGGTTCCAGGTTGCCACCACACAAATTATCCAGGTTGATTTGTGAGTAAGCCCTACTGAACTCTTTGGTTTGTTTATAATTTGTACATATAATTCCAGCCTTAAGGTAACCATTCCATGCATAGAGCTGAATGGGTATCCACCCCGCCTTCTCAATTGGCCATCACACAAATTCAGCAAAGCATAATTAAATGGGTCACTTAGGATTCAATGCTATGGCCAGTTCTACCAAAGCCAGTCAGTGCCTTTGCTCCATCTCAAGAGGAGGGGGAAAGCAGTTGAAATCAGCAGTCAGGGTTTTTGAGGACAAGGGTGGGGGTTAGGACCATAGAAAGTCTTATTTAAAAAATGTCTTGGGAGTTCCTATGTTCAGCAGCATGTCACATGATATGCCAAAACAGCCATTATTGAAAAGCTGTTACGACCCATATCACTGATACTGTGAGATCTGAGTTTCCTTCTGGGATGATGTAATCTACATGCATGCTAGTTGGATAATTTTCCAGAAATGTTTATTTGTAGGAGTAAGCAGTAAATCAGTTCATAGATGACACCAAACTATTTAGGATAGAACTGTGAGGAACTCCAAAGGGATCTCTCCAAACTGGGGGCATCAAAACAGCAAATACAATTCAGTGTAACTTACTGTAAAGTAATGCATTTTGGAGCAAAAGATTCTAAACTTCAAGTGAGCTGATGGAGCCTGAACTAACAATGACAGATCAAGAGATCTTTTTTTAGGTAGAGGGGGAAGCTCAATGAAAACGTGGATCTAGTGGGCAGCTGCTGTGAAAAAAAGTCAGCCTCCATGTTAGGCATAATCAGTGCTTTTTTTGACATAGAATGCACCGGAACGGAGTTCTGGCACCTTTTTTCAACAGATTTTCCAAGTTTTAAAAATAACTTTTGAAAATTTGATGTTTGGTCCATGTGGATTTGAATTGCCCTGTTGAGTGTAGCAGGTTGGCGGCAAAATCATTACAACGGTGAATGCGGACTGCTTGTGTGTCAAATCCCATGCATGCGTACTTTGTCTGCACTGGTTGTGATGGCGCTGCTCGGCTTGTGATGGGTCGTGTGGTCGTGCTCTGAGTGCATACTGCAGGCGGCAACCATTATGTTTTGTTACACAACTGACGTGTGGGGGTGTGCACAGTGATTGACTACATGTGAAAGGTAAATAATTTCATGAGTTTCAGCACCTTTTTTCTTACAAAAAAGCACTGGGCATAATTAAGAAAGCACTGAGAATCAAACTGCCCTTATACAAATATCTATGGTGCAATTGTACTTAGAAAATTAGAGAGAGATACTAAAATGCAGTCATCCCATGAAGCTGACTGATGGTAGATTCAAGACAAGTATGTCACACACAACGTATAGTTAAGCTATGGAATTCACTACCATTGGAAGTAGTGATAGCTACTAAGTTGGATGGCTTTAAAGGTAGATTTAGATAAATTCATGGAGGAGAAGGCTATTGAGGACTACTAGCTTTGTTCGCTGAGTGCTATCTCCATTACCTGAAGCATACACCAGTATCTGCAGGCAGATGGTTTGCCATCATGTGGATGGAACACTGGACTAGATGGACCATTGGGCTAATCCAGCATAGCTTTTCTTATGTTCTATAAAGGTCTTTTTCTTTGGCTACATATAATTGCAGGAATATATTCAACAAATATAACAATTACAATCTAATTCTTGAACTGAGCTGTGTAAAATACATATTTATTATAACTTATAACTCCTCATCCTTTCTGTTATATATGTGGCTATTCGTACTGCTGATGTATCATGTCAGAATAGTGACAGTAGATGCCATGCCATCCAATGGATATTTTGACAGAAAAGCAGCATCTATACCGTCATGTCCTTTCTCAAGCCTTCATGGCTGCGGCATGCACGGATCCGAAGACTTTTTTTGTCTAAAGTATGCATAGTATTACACCATAAAATAACAGTGCTTGCCTTCCTTGCAACCCTAATGGAGTCCCAAGATAACATTTCCAATTAAGTTATTATTTCGATGTTATTTCCAATTAAGTTATCTCTATGTTACGAAACATCTGAAATATGCTGATCTACGCTAGCCCACAGGCAGCTTAATCTCCAGGCCTTAACTGTTGCCACGCAATGCTTTTAACTGGGCCTGTCATAACATTCCAGCAAGGAACGCTTGAACCAGGGGTTGACTAAGCTCGGGCCTCCGCTCCCTTCTCTCTCCCGCTAAACTCAAAACCCGTTTGATTGGCCTTCAAGGTCTCAGCCGAGGCCTAACACGCACAGCGCCCCTCCAGCACGGCTGACGCACGCTGCGGGGGGAAGAATCCAAAGCAAGCCGGCTTGCAAAGTGGGCAGGGTTGGCTCCTGGAAACGTCAGTGAAGTGACGCTAAGCCCCTGGCTTTTCCTGTCCAACCGCTATGTACCTTTCTGGGCGTCGGACCCGCCCCTTGCGTCAGAGAAGGACAAAGTCATTGAGGAAGGGTGATATTCGGCCTTTATGTGGACTAGCCTGCTAAGTATCGGAGTCTGGAGGGGAGCCGCGCCATTTTAGAAGGTGATTCCCGGGGAGTGTGTATCTCGGGTGGGTAACCGGGCGGGGGAAAGAGGTGGTGCTTCGCGCTCCCTCGCTGTGTGTCGGAACTTGCTCCGAGGCACCGGTAGGGCAATTCCTTTGCATGCCGTGGGCTTCTTCCTAATCGCATCTCTGCTTTCCCTATTTGAAGCTTCCTGCCGCCATGTTCTCGTCTATCGCGCCGCTTGTGCGGCTCAACCCATTCCACGCTCCTCATCTGCAACTGCAGCAAGACAGCCTCAGCCTGAGGAAACGCGTGGCCGATCCCGCGGGGCCCTCGTGCACGCAGCGGAACCTCGCAGCCGCTTCCGCAGAGGGTAAGTCGGTGGGGTGAAGGGAGGAGAGATGAACGGCTCCATTACTCCTTTCCAAGGTTTCCCCGGCTTTTTGCATTCATACTCTGGGGAGCCCGTGGTGGCTGTGCTCGCCTG